CCTCCAACTTTGAACAAATCGAAATTGCTTCCTAAATGTGTGGCTTACCAATGATAGTAGGCCATCTTGTGTCATGGTCGCAGGGTTTTATTTCTCATTTCGATTGGTTGCCAAACTTCCAGATGGAGGGTCTTATCTAATATAAGCCTCACAGAAGGTTGATGCCAAATAGAGAAAGATTAGAGGAAGAAGATAGGAGTGCTGTTGATAGTGTGCCAACAATGATGGACCAAACATGATAACCCAAATACTGCCTGAATCTCGGTATATTAGAAAAAATATTAAAAACATATTGTACCTTAAAGTAAAAATCGTGCCGTCGCTTATACGCAAAGTAAAATCTAGACTTCACTGACGGTTCATTTCATGTGGGCCAATTTGTGTTTTCTTCTAAACATCAGATTTTTTTATAACGAGTGTTATCTGTTTACAAAGTTAACAGGTTTGTAAAACATTGTCTTGCAATGGCTCAAATGTTCGACCAGTCACCGAAATCTTAACTTTTTCTTGACCAGGAAGAGAGCCCTTTCTGAAATAGGAGCAAAAGAAAAGACCCTCAAAACATGTTTCAAATAACTACAATTGTTCCTAGTTCTTGCATTAAAGGCAAAAAAAGAAGGGTTCTGCTGATCCGAAAACGCATATTCTCTCTTACTCTACATCTGTCTCGCGATACCTTTTCCCCTCTCAACTACGCTCCCGCTTCCTTATAGGCCGTGCATCATGCCACTTAGCATGCAGTATGGTATCGACAGAAATGCCTAAACCATTCCTGCTTCCTATTAGCAAAGCATCTCCACGCTCCTGCAACAAACACCCCGTTAGCTATCCAGTCCCAGTGTGATGAAGCAGGCCCGGGTTTCCACGCCTCTCCATTTTATAGTTGATGAATAGCTGCAGCAGATGGTTTCTTATCTTGAAGATTCCCAGTAAGACGAGCGTGATGAATCGTCCCAGGCCTTACGCATCCATCGGCCCTCTCCCCATCCCCACTGCCGACGCCATAACGTTGCCCCTCTGGCACAAAAAAAAAGTTGAAATGTGAACAATATGTAGTTGGCTCGTCACGAAACACCAATGAATCTACAGCTTTCACTTCTCATGCCATCTCAAAATCTTTGGACATGTCAGCATTGACACGTTCACTCCATTCCAGCTGTGTAAACGCCAATATGGTTGGTGTTAAAAACATCTTTACAGAAAAAAGACAGGGGCTCATCTGGTGCAGTCATTATCCCGTTTACAATGCACTCTCATGACAGACCCACGTCCACTCTTCTCATCAGTCACAACTTCACACAGCAGCGCACCAGAGGATGGGTGCTGGGCGAGTATGAAGAGCGGACCAGATATGGTAGCAAAAGCTGTTAATGCTTTCCTTACTATGTGAATTCTTTGCAGGGTGCTCTGTTTCTTAGATTATAAATCAATCTGTACTCTAGGAGAAATATCCCTCACAATGGTGAAAAAGGGCCAACGGAAAAAATCAGTGCCATAAATGTATATCGGTCGGATATACGTATTTTATCAAACTGTCTTTATTTCTACCTGCTAGATCTACCACATCTAATCTAATCAAATGTAAAACAGTAAAATAATAACAAAAATGAAGTTAACTATTTTAGAAAATGGTTTTCTCTTGTGTTATCTGTGACAAAACATTGGAATTCTTGGTACGTTAATGGAAGATTCAGTAAGACACTGTCAGATAAAATTAGCTTTCATCTGGAAAGGATGAACAAATATAGAACATTTAAATTCATATGATTGCATTTAACAGTTTCTATCATTTATCAACTTTTGCTCCAGCAAACTTTTTTATGTTACTTGGATTCAAGAAAAATATGCCAAGCACCACATTTAGCTTGCCCTCACATTTTTTGTGAAAGACCCTTTAACCTGAGCTTGGTGTGCTGGTCAAAATGTTAACCTCGTATTTTCCTGCTGCATGAGTAAAGTTATTTGTGTGCCAGGTCATCCAGAGCAGGTCATCCCCCAAATAAATCACATTAAAAGACGTGTCAACAGTCCCCTCAAAATAGACCCCAGAGTACCTGGTCCACATACCGTATCTGTCGAAGGAACATCAAAACGCAGAAGGCAGCATACTCGGGATAGCTGACCTCCTGTCACGTGTAAGCTTGGACTGAAGATATGTAAAGGACACAGAAAGCCTGGAATAGAGAAAAGAAAATGCAATGGCAATTTAGTCTTATTATCAGTGGTGGAATGTTACCAAGAACATTTTCTCTCAAGTATTCTTCTTGGCCGGTTTTAGGGACTTGCACTTGAGTATTCTTTATGCCACTTTATACTTCCATCCAAAGTAAATATTATTATTTTTACTAGGATTTCTTGCATAAGAAATACAAGAGTTGTTCAAATATAATGTCCCTTATAAGTCAAACCAGCCAAAATATCATACAGAACATTAGACTATTAATCAACTAGACTTTTGAGAGATGATGAATTGCCATATATAAACATTTTACATGTGAAGTATTCTTTTTGGTTTTCTGGGTGTTTTTTTAATTTATTATTTCTGCATTGGGCAATTTAACTTTAAATACCTTTTGTTGATGATACTTACTTTTTCTTACAATGTCAATGCACAACATTTTATAGCAGTGGGGTATTGTAGTAAAGCTTCTTAACTTATTCCAATTATTATTTAAAGGCTGCATAATTAACTAACTTTATTATTAGGCAAACACTTCAAATTACACGTCATAGATAGTTATGAGGAAGATACTAATTTAAAGTCTATATGCTGAAACATTATGATGTATACATAATTATCCAACATGCCACATACAGACATATGCTCATTAGAAAAACTTTAAATAGTTATATTGTATCAAATCTTATCGTAACAAATATTTGTATCAAAGCAAGCCTGAGTCTTTTCTCAGTGGAGGAAAAAACTACTGTGCCATTTGTCAACTTTAGAAATGTTATGTATTTCTGACATTTATTGTTAAGTGCAGATTTGATATACAGACATTTGATGAAGTTATCCTAAGAGAGTATTCTATTTAAAGTCATTTTACACCTCCAAACTTTTCTAAAGTCTGAAACTAATAGGATTTCAGTGCAAACTTGTACATATTGCTTGTCCTCCACTCCTCAGTTTTCCATTATGAATCATGTTTTAACAGGGTCTCATTTCTCAGATATTTTCTTTGCTTCTATAGCTGCAGGGCCTCACCTGCAGGCTACTGTGCTCACTCACACATGCATGATGCAATGTGAAACCTTCGCCTATTCACTGGAAAAAAGGAACGAGGAACTGTGCAAAGCGCCTGCAGTGCTGCAGGTGTGAATATCTGTGTCCTCGCTACCGTGATTAATAGCAATGAAATGTGGGGCTTCTCCAAACACAGAGCTATCACAATATCTCTGACAAAGTCAATCAATACAGTCTGTCGGTGCCAGGAAAAAAATATGAAGAGAAAAAAAGTGTTCATGGGGCCAGGAGTCTGATTTATCACAGATGTGCATTTCTGAGACAAACGGGCGAACATGACTTCAACATTTGGGAAGAATTTTGCGCTATCATGTGGCCATAGGGCATGATCTCAACTGGCAGAGAGGTCAGTGTGGATGCATGAAACACACAGGCATGCATGCGTGGGTGTGACTGCACACAAGTGTACACACCTATAGTTAGCACACAATCATGTGATGCTCTGACACACCTGCACAAAACATCATTTGCTCAATAATCACATCTGGTGACAGATGTAACAATCCGAGTAAAACAGCACATTTACTCAAGTACTCGAGGTAACAACAATTTTAGGTTACTTTACTTAAGTCTTATTATGCCAATATGCTAGTTATATTGTACTTGTTATTCCACTACATTCATTTGACAGCTGGAGTTATGTTGCAGATTAAGATTATCAAGACACTATTTAAGAAACTATTACATTATTATGTATTCATATTTGCCAATTTAAGATACTTATCAATACAAAACAGTTATAGTCAGGTATAAATATAAGTTTTATTTATTTCTGAAATATTAATTTTACTTTTGGGACTTTAAGTATATATTTTATTGTAATACATATGCACTTGGTAGGTTAAATATGCTTTGCATGGAACAAAATGTACTTGCAAATGAGTAATTGTTGTCACATACAAGTAAAAACACTGTTTTCCACACATAAAGATATGTCTTCAATTGGTTACACTCAACTTACTTAAACAAATGTTTGCCTTTTCCTTATTTATATAGTATAAGTATAATATTCAACTGTAATTTTATCTTGTTTGATCAAACATTTGGAGTTGTTATTCGTTTAGGCTTACATCAAGGAGGATGCAAAGTAGTTGCAACCTTTTTGAGATGAACCTAGCGCTTCTGACCATATCAATTCTGTGAATGAAAAGTGAACTATTCCTTCAGAATGAGCAGTTGTTGGGCACATCAAATGCATCAGTTGTTACAGTTGCTACACTCAACAGTGGATTGTTGACAGAGCTATTAAGTATGTTTACAATCATTTTGCAAAGGCACACCTATTAAAACATTATTCGTAAATGCAATGTTAATAAAAGTGTGGGTATAATTAGGCCAACTAATTGTTGGCATTCTTCTTCAAATGCCCTGTGTGAAGCGTGGAGGAAAAGCTGTTTATTACTTCCTCTCTCTTTTTTCTTTTACATGAAAATCTTGATTTAAGTCTTACACTTTAAATGGAATTATTATGGCATTCAAACCAATTATGTTATTATGGCTTGTTATAATGCGATTACAGAGCCTGATCCCGGTGATTGTCTCTTTAAGAAGCAGTGAGAGTGAGAGGAGGTGGCGGTGCGGTTTCACACCCCGGGGTGGGAAACATGGGCGGGGCCAACCACCGCTGACTGAAAGCCGTTCAAAGGCTCTCCTACTCGAAGAACCCATATCGACCAATGAGGTGAGGGCTTGACCCGCCCAGCAAACCACAACAGCCAATCACTGCGAGCCAGGGGAGGACCCTGGAATCGCTGTTGTGCATCCAACGTGGGACTACGGAACGATCTCCCAGGGAAAAAAAGGAAAAGTAACTCAAGAAAGGAAAAAACTCATGGTGGTGCTACACGTTCGTAAGGAGGGGGCACTCTATATTGCTATTAATCGGATCGTGGAGATTTTGTGACCGCAGACTGCACCTGATAAGCTGTCGGCTGAGTTCTTCTGGATCGGACTGTGTGTGTTTCAAAGTTGGATTTATTCAGCTAACAGCGGCGAAGTGCTGGGTAGATATGGACGATCTGCAGCGCTCGGCTTGAGAGACCAACGCTGGAGTTTTCGGCACTACATTTACATTTACAACTTTGTAGTGGACGTGTTGTAACGCCGTGAGAAGTCAACGTGTAACCGGTTTGCTAAATTTCAAACTCGCTGCTGCTCTATTGATCAACAGTTACTGTGTCCTTTAACACTTTGCTGTTGCATGTTTTAACAACATGTCACCAAAAGCAGTAGTTAAACGACTTTCATGAACACTGTTTTTTAACTTAATGTGACTTAAGGACGACTTCTACTTTTGCTAGTTCTGTGAATCACCTTTGATTTTTTTAGCCCGCGTCGGACACCAGAGGAGAAAGTTGGACTGGGAACTTGTGTCCTAAATGACTTATTACTGGGATGGAAAACGTACTACCGCACTGCAGTTGTTTCTCCTAGCCCACGTAGCACAAGAAGACAATTAATGTGCTCTAAAAGTCTCCCAGTTTTTCCGAAGAGACATTAATATTGAAGTTTGTGGGTGCGAGGAGAGATCTCAACGGCCGCGCTATTAAAACTGGATACAAAATGGCGGCGTCCCTGGGACGATTTGGATATGTTTCTCGATGTGTTTTTTATTTAATTTTGTCGGTCGAACTGTTTATCAGTTATGGATTGAGTTCAGACTTGCCGTGTGCCCAGAACTGTACCTGCGACGGAGATGCAGTGGACTGTAGTAACCTGGAGCTGACAGCTACGCCTCTGGACCTTCCTGTCCGGACTGTTTCCTTGTAAGTAAAGCGCTTACTTTGACCTAGCCTATTTATTGACTGGCCCATAAGTGGGTAACAATGTTTATAACGAAACAAAAAGTGCGTAATAACATAGAAAACGTAACCACAAAGGTATACGTACGAGACAGGTTTCGATACGGTTTCCTCTGAAGGAATCCTGTATGAGAAGATGTGGTTAGGATTTGCATAATTGACTATCAAGTGTTGCAGGGTGAGAAGAGCCAGTTGTCATGTGTATTCCTTCTTCATAACAGTAACTTTGAGTAAGTTTTTAGGTGTAACATTTAAGTTTTTCAAATGTTCCTGGTGGGACCTCCTTTTACCCCATTATAGCCCCTCGGAGGTCCCTGCACCCCTCTCTGGAAACTAATGGAACAACAAACCACAAGCCATGTTTGCACACACAGCTCTGACCCATCACGTTGTAACTTGATAACAAATTGTTTATGCAATGCATGAATTAAGTTAGCACCTATTCTTTCATAACAAGACAACAGGCAAACTGGTTTCTTTATGTGTTTGACTGTAGGCCAAATGTACCTTTCAGTATCCGTTTTCTTTAATTTAATTTAGTTTAATTAATTAAGTATTCTCATGTATTGTAACAGGTGTAATGATAGCTGCAGAAAGTGGAACAAACATACACAAAATAGACCACTGTGTTTGTGGACATTATTTATTTTGTAGGTTAAATGCCTTGCTCAAGGGCACATTGACATTTTGTGGCACATCTGTGTATTGTGTCTTGAACTTATCCTGTTGGTTTGAACGTTATTTTTAAACTATTCTTTAAAAAATCAGTTTCAAATTCGTAGTATAATAGTGTCTTTGAATAAAAATGGGATTATATTGCAGAAATATTGCAGTTAGGAGACATTACAAGATGTGCGCTTTTTGTATCTATCCAAACGTGTATTTGCATTTCCAATGTTCGAATGAACAAACAGTCCCCTCAGGCTGAGTAAACAAAATCAGCAACACATGTCATAACGGCTAAGCCTCTTCTTTGCGACAATTGATTTTCAGAAATACACAGCTCTCTGTCCTCCTAATCAACAATTTGTCTCACCTCTGTACATTGACATTTGTGAATCCTCTGTGACAATCGGGCATCTTGTTGCAGAATCATCAGCATCTGTTTGTGTGTGTTTCTTCTGGGAACGTGGGGTTAAAGACCAGAGACCCAAAGACTTCTCTGGCTCCCAGGTTCCTGTGTTAGGCAGTTTATCTTCCCCTGGGAAGTAAGGAATGCAACTTTAAAAAAGTCCTTTAAAAACATGAATAACGGCACTTGTGCCCGGGTAGCCTCATTGCCCTGAAGCACCACTTAGCCAAGTTCAAGTGTAGACGCTGTTTATCATGCAAGTACGTAGACACACACTGCTCCTCCTGTTCTCCTGGACAAAGGACAACTACTATTGGACAAATGTCCCGTGTGAAACAGCTGCATGAAACCTCAAAAACGCGAGTCTACTTCTGTTATCTCATCCAAACCTTATCGGTCAAGATTTAAGGACCCGCAATCTTGTTGTTTTCAAAGGGAATGGCTTTATGGCTTTGAATTATCTTTTTAAAACACCTAGGTTGAATATTTCCACACTGCTTGAGATAGTCATGTAACGCTGGGAGGTGACTCAAAGGGAACCAGCTCAGTTCCTTCAGGCTCTGTAAACGAGCCAGATTAGCAGATGATTACTACACACAAAGAGACAAGTATGAACAATTTCACTTGTGGCCCGGTGTGATCCCATTATAAGGTACCATTCGTAGAGTCCTGTCCACTTGAGTGGCTAACATGTCTTTTTGAAAGTTATTTCAGTTTCTGAGTGCTGCCTGTGCAAAACAACGTGTGTAGGTAGGTGCTGCTTGTGAGTGTAAGTTATTCTCATACAAGAGGGGAACTAGTACTGTTGAAAGTTAAAGTTGATATAGTAAGTGCTAAGTGCTGAGTGCAATAATAATAGCTTATCGTGTCAATGGAGCTCACTGAGTGTCCGTTTGCCAAATGCCTTGTTCTAAAACAAAGTGTGTTTGTGCAGATCTACCTTCAGGCATCTGAGCCAAGCTAAATCAGTGTGAAATCAACTATCTCTGTTATGTTTACCCCAGGGAGGGAGCAGCAGCAGCAGTAGTGGGAGGGAGGACAGTATTGGGGACAGAAAACACATGTCACCTAGGTTGACTTCAACAAGTAGCTAAAACACCTATGACTGCATTTATTAATAAAAAACAAACCCCCCAAAAATGAATTTGACAAGCATGTGTGCATGTTCCACATCCTCTCTGTTTGCAGTAGTTCAAGCAGAGAGGATAAACCCAGCTTAAAATGAATGGAGATTTCCCACCCTTTTGTGTGGGTGGAGAAGGATTGCGCTGTCATGTATTTGCTGCAATTATCTTTATACAGGCTCTTGCATTGGGATAACAGTAATGAACACAGCAGTGGTACCTCAGGACCTGCATTTGTACTGCAGCTTACAGAGGGAAATAGTTCTTAAGGAGAGTCATCATATGTCAGGATGTGGGAGTTTTGTGCAGGTGTGGAATAATATTGCTCACTGACAAATGTATTTATAGCTTTAAGCGCACATTTTACAGCTAGAAAGAAGTAGCCTTTAATGCCCCTACAAGTGTAGGGGCATTAATTGCATTATTGTTTAATGCCCTTGTTTTATGTTGAAACTTGTTGTGTGCCGTGTTGGTCAGGACTCCCTGGAAGAAGAGATCTTGTATCTCAATGGGACATTCCTGGATAAATAAAGGATAAATAAAAATAAAAGTGACACTTCTATGCGTTTGTTTCCTGCCTTAAGTTTGTGTAATGTTCTTAAAAATCTGCATCTTTAAAAGACGAATGCACTGTATTTAAGTCACTCCAAGTACCAGGGGAGTTAGGCAGCTAGGGGGTAGATCTTCAAAATGTATCCATTAGTAGATATCCTTAAAGTCCAGAGGATGTTAAAAAGTGAATATAGTGATATAGAGGCAAATCCTGAAAAAACAGACTGAGATAAGATGGATAAGGGTTAGTTGGGAAAAAGTGTGATTGACTACGTTTGGTAAAAACAATTATTTACTGCAACACAGTAACGACTTATTGCAATAATAATGAGCTAATGATACATAGCAAGAAAATCATTTCTGTCCTTAGGCCTTTGCCTTTTTATGTATGTTTTTTTAAACATATCCGTTGCTGTTTTACAGCAGTGCTTCTAACATTTGTCAACCCGACCCCGTCTCAGATGTCTGTCTATTGTTTCTGATTGATGAATAGCCTAATAACATTCAAAGCAAGTTTGCTCTCACACAGTCACATATTCCCTCTCAGGAGTGGTGCCTTATCTTATTTGCAGCCAGAGTAATGTGTATAAAAAGCATTTTTACCCACAGAGCCACTGGCGTAATGGGGTTTTGCGAGTTAATAAAAGCATGAGCATTACTAATTCTGCTGGCTGAGATTGCTGTGGCTGGATAGAGATAAAGCAGATACTTGTCTGTTTGTTTTTCTGCCAGCGCCTCTACTTTCTCTCCTGGGACTGTACAATCCTTTTGTTATTTATTGTTAAAGAAAGGAGTTTGTCTTAATTGTCCTTTGTTGAAGTTGAAGTCCTTGCATTATTAACTTGCAGAAACTCTGTTGAAAAGCAATAGTCTGATCTTGAATGGTCCCCTTTGTAACCAAAGCATTTCCCAAGTGGTTTCCCAAGATTCCCAACATGCTGGCCATAATGCTTGGTGTACACCCAACGTTCTTCCGCGACTCGACCCCAAGTCGTAGCCTTAAACCTCACAGTGCAGTCTTATTGGTAAACACCACCCCCAGCAGTTGGTTTTGGCTTCTCCCCTCAGGAAATGGGTTTGTGTTGGCGGTTTCCTGACAGGGGCCGGGAGCTCCGCTTGCTGGTTGCGGATTGGTCGGCGTAGGGTGGGGCCACAGATCACCTGGCCTGTGGGCAATATGGGGCGAGGTAGGAGGATATTTTCCACCCACTGCATGGAAGTATTTTGTCAATGACACGGTCTGCGGCTGCGGCTGGTTCCTTCAGGCTGGTTCCTCTGGTGGGTGAAAGTCCTGTCGGTGGTCAGAAACCTCAACCACTGTCACACATGTTGTAACACACTGGGAACACCCAGAGGAAATGAAACATTACAGGACTGTCTGCTTGTATGTCACTATCAGACACAGCTCAAGTGAATTACCACCGCAGGATTGTGCTCCCCATTGGTACAGTGTTTCTATCTTGGCCAAGTACCCCCCCTAACCCTAACCGATTTTGTCAAGTCCATGAACTTCATAAATGCTTCTCTGCTTAAACAGGTGAACATTTCAGCAGTTGGGGGAGAGATGCAATACTTTGCAGGGCCGAGCCCATTGTGGTTTCTAGCACATTTCTCGCTACGCGGCCTTGTAATCTTGTGGTAATGGGAGTGATTATACTAAGTTTGTTTATTGTCATTGTTTCCTTAGCCCTTGTGGATAGATTAAAGTCAAACTCGAGAACTTGGAAGGGTTTAAGATGATATTATCATTGGCACAGATTTCAATCTGCTGCTCTTTAAGTTTTCTCTTCCTTATCAGGCTGTTCTGTGTTAAGCCGGACAGTAAAAGTACCATGAGTGTCGAAATGGAAATTTAAAACAAACGGCAATCTATTTTTTGTTGTAATGGATACCTCTTTTAACCGACTGAGATGATTCATGCATAACATTAGCTGTGAACAAATTAAGTAGGACCAGCTAAGGTTGAGCCCTTACTCCAATAACAACTGATAAAGTCAGACTTTTACATGAAGACATGGAAGTGAGCTCATGGCCTCGCACTGGCTTTAATGACAATCAAACAGCTGCTGCCTCAAGTCATTCTCCAGGAATCTAGTCAGCAGAATAGATGGCCCTTTTGTGAAGACACTTTGGGGCGCCAAGTTTTTTTTTCCCCTTCCACCTTTCCCTCTCCCCCAAAGTCGGTGTCTACAAAGTGGGCTTGATCGATGAATCAT